AAAAATTTTGAAAAATTACATGAATCAAGTAAATATAAATTTAATTGATTCAACAATCTATTTCATTATCTATAGGTCCAGAAATAAATGAAATGAAAGAACTTGAAGAACATTTACGAGCTGTGACAGAACAAGTTAAAATTCGTCGAAAATTACTTAGAGATTTTTCTGAAAAACATGATTCCGTAAGATGCTTATACTCTTAAGGATACCTCCATCTTCTTTGATCACTTCTAGTTCTTGACAAGAGTGCAATCAATCAGGCTGAAATTTTTACCACAGATAGACCAACTAAAATGAGCAGAGATATGTGCGAGGAAAAAAAATTTCAAAAAGGGTTTTACGGAAAAACTCTAGTTTCCATGAGACTGCATCCTAGTGGATTATGACCTCCATCAAATTTTGTCCGATTAGACCAAAAATATTTCTTGAAGATACTTAAGACCATATCTTATTGATAGTTTTGAGCTTTTTCGGAAACCTCAGTTTCTTTTTTGGGTGTGGTAATAATTTTAGCCCGATGGGACAAAATGAGTGGGGATTGTAATTAGAGATGTAAGCCAATCGGCTGAGCCGCCGCCAATGACTGCAAAACTTTTAAGATATATATGAGCCGTTGCCACTGATAGTCGCATCATTTTTCGGGTGTATCAGCCGCGACATGAAGATAGATATATTTGATTTTTAAAACTTTCCGGCATTCCAAATCAGTTTTGATGATGTTATCATCTAGTTTATTGTCAGTAAGTTCTCAAATATTGTTTTTCTCTTTTCTAATTTCAAAATTAAATTAAAAAATTTCAGCCATCATCGATCCATGTGTCGGCTTACACGTCTAGTCGTAATGTATCAGGATACAACACTACTGAAAACCAGAGTTTTCTGGAGTACGTATCGGCTTAGTTTAGGTACTCTATCTGTGATAAAAATTCCAGCCTGCTTGGGTGCATCCTTGTCGAGAACTAAAAGTAATCAAAACAAAAGACAAGCGGAAACCTTAAGAAAGAGACTATCAGAAAAAAATCGAAAAATTATTTTTTCACTGAACTACAATCTATTGATTTCTATCCGAACTAGACCTCTCATGCTGATTTGATTATGCTTCAAGAAGAAATAGAACAAATGAATAAAGCTATTACAAAAAAACGTCATATTGAAATTAAACTTGAAGATGAACTTCAACAATATCATATCAAAATTGATCGTGCTGATCAAATTGTTTGTAGCAAAAAAAATAATTAAATATTCCTTTCTTTTTTTATTTCAATTCAATTTTAATATTAGATCAAACGTTTTCAACAAATCATTCGACAACAACGAAGTATTCAAGATATTATACAAGATGAACTTGATATTGATGTACGTTTACAATATGAAACTAATAAAAAAATCGAACAACAACTCGTATCTCTATGCTTAGCCATAGGAGATGATGACAATGTCATTGACATAGTTGAACAATTATCAGTCGATCAATCATTTAAAATTATAATCAAACCATCAATCACTCAGTTAAATAAACAACAATATAAACTTGAAAAACAATCCACATCATCATCATCATCATCATCATCATCATCATCATTATCTAATATGAATATCATTCCAAATATTGTAAATATTTCTATTGATAGTAGTTCAAGATCAACAACAAGTGAATCAAAACGTTCATCGAAAAAGAGTACATGAAGTTTTCAATAAAATATTTTTCTTGTTCAATCAAACATGTATCATCAAAGTTTATAATAATTTAACATTCTAGACATTTATTTTTTTTGTTGGTCTATGTCTTGTAAAGGTCGTAATTTGAATTCAAGTCAGAGGCCGAAACGAATGACAAAAGTTCAATTCGAATTCGATTCGCTTTTACTCGGTTCAGACAGTATTAAAAAAGATGCTATGTATTTTTTCAACACTATCCGTTACTTATAATACCCTATTGAAAACGATAGTACCTATCGATACTCTCATGAAATTTATCAATTTCATAATTATCTAATTAAGTTTATTTTTCCTTTATTTGTTTCTTATTATAAATGATTGTAAAATAAAAAATACATAGTTATCATTCTTT